TACGATGGAAGAATTATTGAAGATATAAGGCTATGTGTGGCTATTGGGTGTTCTTCAAGTTCTGTGAGAGCTTCTGAGATGAATGGCAGGACTGACCAGCGTGCTGTCATCTCTTCCACTGCTTTTGGTTCTGAGTTAGGGCTACACAAAGATGATTTTAATGAGCTTCGTGGATTTAAAAAAATAAATGCTTTTCTGGCAAGTTTCACTCAACACTCGTTCTTTTCCTCTATTCAGACGGGTGAAGATATGTGTGCTATTTCATGTTATGCTATCTAAATGACACAAATGTTGTGCTGCATCTTATTTGTATTTTTAATTTGTAGAGGCTTGTTTTATTTAGCAGTGATCTTCACTTACAGTCACAAGGATTAAGGTTGATGTTGAAAAACAACTTAAAGCACGATTCAATTAAACATCAGCCCCCCCCCCACAAATTCCGATGCAACTGATTTACAAGTGGAATAGGAAGGTGCAGGCCATCAGGAGGCTGACCAGTTTAAGTGTCTCGACTCCACTATTTCTAGCGATGGTACTATTCAGCCAGAGTTAGATCTGAGGATCTAAATAGCCTCAAGTGCTTTTGGAAGCCTGTACATTTGGCCTGAGACATGAGTATTTCTTTACACAAAATTCGTCGTGATGGTGGTTAGATTGGCGTTGTTTTACTCCATGGAAACAATTGTTCTAATAAAGGATCAAGATTGAAGGTTGGCCTGCGTACAGTAGCGTTAGCTTCGATGCATAATGAGGGTTAAATGGCAGGACCACTTAAGGAATGACTCTTCTCTTCCAGGCACAACTCATCTCGCTAGATGTGCAAATAAAGAAAAGGAGGTTGGGCTTGTTAGAAAGACTGCTCGATCATAAGCCATTAATTCAAGACAGTAAGCTTCTCGTCTGGGAACCGAAACATGGCTGACGTCCGCCAGGAAGCCATCATTCAGCATTGAGGAACAAGGTAAAGACAGATTTGCAGATTTCTGAGAGGAATATTTTTTCTACCATGGAGTAGCCGGTAATTTATAACAAAGTGTTGAAACGCTGTCAATACTGCTGTCGAACCAGAGATCTTCTGTTTATTCTACGGGCTCAAGGTGATGATCACATCAAACACATCTGTTTTAGGTGCTTTCTTATCTAAGTCGTCTGTAATGAGATGATCAGTCTCAACTTTAATTACTGTCTTCAAAAAATGAGGCCTTCCTGACTAGCATTGAAACGGATGTCAGTTCGGAACGAACGATTTCATAAATAATGCCAGTCATTAAATTGTTAGGAATACCAGTATTCCAGCTGTTAAACGTTCCTTTCCTTTAAGCACATGGTCGTTCATCATCCTTGGAATTTAACATTTGATCTAGTGCCATGAGTCTTTATCCCCTGTTCAAGGGATGGATGATATGATGTACAATGTGATTTCGCGATACATTCTGGGATTAATATTTATACCTCCGTTCTTTCAGTTCCACTTTGCAACCAAAGCATGCTTCTTGTACACTGAGCTGCCTTCTACAATGCATCGTACCGTATATGCCATTTATGATAAGTTATAATGACTTGGCTTCGTAGCAGATGTCCTTATTATTTAATTGCTTGCAACTTGTTATCTGACCTGACGATGGATAGGAAATGCTAGGTGCAATTCTGATTAACAATTAGTGCTTTGTTCCTTTGAGCGACCCGTTTCTTGATTGGTTAGCGTAAACTTGTTTATGAAATGGCGTGCCAAAGTTCAGAACGATCTGTCTTAGTCTGATGTTGACTCTGTTGGTGAAAGTACGGACACTCGCTCGCTCAGCCATGCCATCGTTGGTGCCTGTTTTTCGCATGGTGTCTTCAAGAGGCGGTAAAAATTTTGTCTTAGGTAATTCAGGGCTCGTGTCTTGGACGATGTCTACCACGGATATTCCAAAGCAGGTCAAGGAGGTGTTCATCGTGTCCGCTTGTCGAACGCCGATCGGATCTTTCCGATCTGCGTTTGCTTCCATGAAGGCGGCTGAACTTGGTTCTGTGGCCATCAAGGCAGCTGTCAAGCGGGCGGCTATTAAACCGGACCTGGTGCAAGAAGTGTATATGGGAAACGTTCTGCAGGCCGGTGTTGGACAGGCTCCAGCACGGCAAGCTTGTTTGGGAGCCGGCCTGTCGGTGAACGTACCTGCGACCACGATCAACAAGGTGTGCGCGTCCGGTTTAAAGGCAGTGATGCTCGGCACCCAAAATCTTATGTGTGGTCAACAAGAGGTGATGGTCGTCGGTGGCATGGAGAGTATGTCCAACGTCCCATTTTACATTCCTCGAGGCGAAATTCCATACGGTGGCGGCAGGATGATTGACGGCTTAGTTCATGATGGCCTTTGGGATGCGTACAAAGACATTCATATGGGCGAATGTGCAGAAAACACGGCCAGCATCCTGAAGATCACGCGGGAGGACCAGGACGTGTACGCATTTGAAAGCTATCGACGAGCTGCCGCCGCTTGGGCAAATGGCGTCTATGCAAACGAGGTGATTCCAGTAACGGTCAAACAGCCGAATGGGGTCGATCGTGTGATCAGTGAAGACGAAGAATACACGAAGGTCAAGTTCGACAAATTCTCCACCCTGCGTCCCGCGTTTAAGAAAGACGGGGGCACAATTACTGCTGCCAACGCAAGCACGTTGAGCGATGGCGCCTGCGCCCTTGTTCTGATGACTGCTGAAGCGGCTGACAAAGCTCACGTCAAACCCCTGGCCAAAGTAGTCGCGTTTGCGGACGCCTCCGTTCAGCCGATTGATTTTCCCGTTGCTCCATCGCACGCTATGCAGAAAATCCTCAACCAGTGTGAATTAGACAAATCGGCGATTGGTCTGTGGGAAATCAACGAAGCATTTTCTGTAGTCGCTTTAGCTAACATAAAGCTTATGGGTCTGAAGCCAGATTTGGTAAACGTTCATGGAGGAGCCGTCTCATTAGGTCATCCGTTGGGCATGTCCGGTGCTCGCTTAGTCACTCATTTGGTCCACACCCTGAAACATGGTCAGAAGGGGATGGTTGGCATATGCAATGGCGGCGGTGGTGCATCTGCGATGATGATCGAAAGGCTATGAGTAATTTAACGGTTGGTGCAACTTTCGAAGTGTTTCTTTACCCGTATGGGAAAATATTGTTTCTACTTTTTCATGAGCTCTTGTTTGACAAAAATTGTGAACAAAAATTATTATTGTTGATGAAGCGACCATGTTTCAGTGTTTTAACTAAAGTCAGTTAAAGACGTTCTTATGTTTGTAAAAAAATCCTTGTGGTAAAATGAGGACGTTACCAAAATTGGCTATATGGTATGTATACTACTGAGTTTCTTCAGTGCAATTCATGTATAGCAGCGCGAAACTGTTATAACATACCTACCACAGGTATAAATTAAGGCTTAAATGTATTAATTATGATTTCTGAAACTTATTTCTATTCTGTCTTCAATAAAAATGTCTCCTCAATAGTTTTAATGCGCAAGGAATATACTGATGGTAATATTTTATCATAGCTGCGGGCGTATCAGACGAACTGCATTGACCATTTCCAGGGTAAACAGTGAGGCGATAATGACTTTATTGTCTGCTTATTCCTTATGTATAGAACTATCAAAACGTTTTTAATGCAATTTTACAATCAATTAATTTCCATCACCGTTTCTTTCTTCGATTCGTGGAGGCAGGTTTGTCATATAGCCCTTCCAACGTTTCCGATCCATGAAACCAACGGAATTGAGTTAAGCGTGAGAAAACGGCGGTCAGAACTTGATTCTGACAATTTGCGGGCGTAGAAACAGAATAGTTGCTGCTGAAGATCAGAATAGTAAAGCGACTTGTTTTAAACGGGAGAGATAGACGGGATGATGCCTTTATAGCATGTAAAATAAAATTTCATGAAATTAATGACATTTTTGTACAACTCATACGTAATGTTAGAAATAAACCTAACACTAAGACTAAAGCCTGTAGTCATTCCGTCTATTCCTCAGCTCTGGCTGGAAAAATGAAGGTTTTCGAATTTACTACAGAACGGATGGCTCATAGGACCGCATATCTACCGGAAAGAACAAAATATGAATTTCATTTATAAAATAAAGTACAATCAGTGCGACATGATCTACAGCAAGAAAGCCATACAGAGGTTTGACAGAAAGACTGGTATATCCAGCGGTTCTGAGGAATGGAAACGCATCATTCTGGTATCGTTTCCAATGCTTTGATCTTTAGTCCAACAAATGTCAATTCTGCTGATAATGAATCCACAAACCATAGACTATTAATTAAGCATCGCTACGTACGTTGGCTATCAAAATTGAAGTGTAAGAAGAGAACTGTTATTTGAACAACATCACCGAACTATTGTATATCAAAGGAAATGCATATTTGTGTAAATTTAGTAAGGTTTTAATTGCAGGGGAAAATGGCAAACGTAAAATTGAACGAGGCAGTTGTAGTTGATACTATAGTTGATTACGTTCAATGGCGATATGATACGAGAACCGAAGTTGATGCTGAGTCTAACTCTGTTGTCAGCTGAAACCTATGCCTGAACTACGAAGCAGGGTGTTCAAAAATATGCCG